ACATTCGTAACAGTGACATGGCTTGCGAAGTTTAAAATTAAGCCAAGTACAACTTTTTTCCGTTGTGAGCAAATTTACACTTTTTCTTAAGAGAGAAAATTTATTTAAGGATAAGGGATCGGAGAAAGACGAAGCATAATAAGTGAGTTGAATTGGAAAGACCGAAAGAATATGTTGAATAACGTATCAGAATTGGGAAAATAGAATACATCGATCGATATAACTATTGTGAGTGACTAAAAAAAGTTTTTTTTTTTGCAGAGACTCAAAAAAGTTTTTGGACAAACCAATTTTGTTTTTCATATATACTAATATACTCATTAATGACGTTCAATTAGGATATATAATTGCTTGTTATGATCATCTGTTTTCCACTTTCATATTTTTTGTATACGAAGTATATCCTAATTGTTGTCTCCTATGACTATGTTGTTATTTTTAATTTTCACAAAATATCTAAGCGTGCCAACTATTTGTAGAGTGTAGGGGTATACAACTTGTTTTAGAACTTTCACAAAGTAGTGGGATTGTTGTTGATACCACTCCTCTCAAAAGATGTTACGTTAAATCAACATCAACACCAGTAAGCCGTGAGATACGGTAGTCCGAGTGTGTAAAAATAAAAATAAAAACTCACAATTTCGGTACCCTTCTAAAACATGGGGTACTGTACCTATCATTCATGTGATTGGATCACATCACTTTATCATTTTTAATTTAGATTTAAATTATTCAACAGAAATTGGCCTAAATAGGAGTAAAAACGTTCTGAAATTCCAAAATAGGAGTATCATGTGTTGGGAACGTTTAGGCTTTAAGAAGGGGCACAAATAATATATTTTGCATTTGAATAAACAAAGTTGGAAAAAATTAATGTCATGCTCTTTCTTCTAAATCTCCATATCTCGTTAATTTATATTTTCTCCGTCCCCGAAAGAATGTCCTACTTTGACTTCACTCTTATTAAGATAAAGAAAATTTTGAGTTTGACTTTCCAAAATACCCTCACAAAGGTGAGGATATTACCCTTAATACCCCACGATAAAAAAAGAAAGGGAAGGAGGGTTGACATAAAGAGAAGAAAAATGAGTGGACATTAAGGATGTTTTTACTTGGATTGTAATCTGTCCTAGACCAAACTAGACTAGACCAGACCAGACCAGACCAGACCAAAACAAATTGGACCGGACCGGACCGGACGTGGATAGTTATAATAATACAAAGAAACCAGACCATTCAGACCAGACAAGACCAGATCAGACGCTACAATGCATACCAATTTTCTTCCAAGACGATTTGGTTGCCAAAAAATTGAAACTCCCTCCAAAATTAAACGTCAAAAGTTTTTACACTTTCTAATCTACCAATGATCTACATCTATATATATACCACATTCATTATAAGTGATTAGTATTCAATACAAGGATTCAATGGACACAGGTCAAGAACAGTCTGTGGCTTCACGTACTGCCACTTCCTTTTGCACTCTCCTTTGATCTCAACGACTTGCCCTTGGATGTGGTTGATCTCAGGCCCTTGTCACCCGCAAACAGTTCACAACTATAAGATGAAGCGACAGAACCTACAGTTCAAAGGCAAATAGGTATCAGACAAAAATTTAGCAGTGATGATAGGAAAAGATTAATTGAAAAGTTGTTAGGTAGTGCTAGTGAAGGGAAACTTTAGAGGGGCATCATTAAGAACACAGCAACATAGTTCAACATTACACCCCGCAATGTGCAGAGGTTGTGGAAGAAAGCAAAAGAGCACATGCTTGGTGGTGATCATTCTACTAATTAAACATATAATGAGTGTTTAATTATCATATTATTGAAAATATTAGCAAATGAGTGTTTTCAATCATGTGCAGTATATGCTTAACTATATCAGTGCTTAATTATCATAATATTGAAAAATAATATATATATATATATATATATATATATATATATATATATATATATATATGCATACTTAATTCTATTAATTAAACATATAATGATACCAATGGGATACTTTTGTATGATACTAAGGTGTCATATAGTTTAACAATGTTATCACATCATAGTATTTTGTGATATTGTGGTGGCGTGATTTACTGACAGTTTCTCAGTGACACTAAATTTAGTGTCGGCATTCCCAACCTTCTGCGACGTTTCTCTTGTGTCACGAAAACATTTTGTGACACTAAATTAGTGTCACTATAGACCAATTTCCTACTAGTGTTAAACCTGTAAATAAGCAAAGTAATTGGAAAGGAAATGTGGGCAGAAACGGGTAGTCTTTGATCCTCAAAAGCTTTCTGAAATATATTGCATCATAGAAAAATATGCGTGCTCTGGTCTATGTAATGCAAGTTTCTAAATACACAGTCTATAGATGGTTTGAAAGAAGGCAAGTTAAAAGACTTTCAAGCGCAGTGAAGCCCTTGTTGAGTGAAGTTGGGAAACTGAAAAGCTTAGAATATTTTTTAACTAACATAAACCCAACTTCCCTTCCTAGTAGGCCTACTTTTCATGATTTTCAGAATTGCATACACATTGACGAAAAATGGTTTTACTTATCCAAAGAAACAACCAGGTTTTACACTCTGCCAGCATAATGTATATGATCCATACAGATCAGTGAAGTAAAAAAATCATTCATAAAATCATGTTCTTGGCAGTGGTTGGTAGGCTTAGGCTGGGACAGAATGGGGAAGTGGAGTGTGATGGTTAAGTAGGTATATTCCTCTTCACTTATGAAGAAACAGCCAAAAGATCTAGCAAAAATAGACTTGTCGGGACTCTATAGACAAAATCAATCACATGTGTGACAAGAGCAGTAATTAAAGATATGTTATGAATACAATTCTGCCAGCAATCAATTAGAAATGACCAGATTCAGAAAACAGAAATGTCACGATTCAACAAGACAATGCAAGACCCCATATTCAAGTTGATGATCCAGAGTTTGTTAAGTGTGGGACAGACACGGGTCGGAACATCCAACTGATATTTCAGCCCCCAAATACTCCAGACTTGAATGTCTTGGACTTGATCTTCTTTAGAGCTATTGATTCAATAAAAGATCAAAATGCCCCAAAGAGCATTACACAATTAATTGAAGCTCCCCAAACTGCTTTCAATTACCACACAGCTAGCACTTTGAACAAGGTTTTTCTAAGCTATCAGTGTGTAATGCAAAGTGTAATGCAAAACAATGGGGGCAACAATTTCAAGTTGCAACACATGGAAAAGAACTCACTAGAAAGGCAAGGGTACGTTGTTACCAAGAAATATCCAGATCAATCTAGAGCTATATGAATCAACTAGGGTATTCTGAATGGACAAATGACAACTACCAACAATGCAGAGCATACTGAAGAAAAGTTCATAATTGAAGAGTAGATAATTCTTCACATATATATGAACTGCTACAAATGTTTTGCAATCACAATTTTATTTTTTGTGTTTGTAAACACAGTTAGTGTCTTATAATTTTTTGTATGTACATGTACACACCTAGAGCACACATTATAAATGTACTGGCATGTACTAGGACAACTTTTTTTGTAAGCTCAGATGCATTAAGTCGTGATTAATTTTTCCCAAATACAATGCACACACACATATCCATCATGTAAAATGCAATGTTAATCGAGCCTCCTACAGTTTGTAATACATAAAGTGGATTGCTACAATTACAGTTAAAAACATATGCAACACATTCGTACATTCTAGTTGAACTCAAACCCCAAATCAATATAAGTTTCAATCAACACTCAAACCCTAGACCCCTTATCAACCAAATGTAACTCAATTCCCAAATTCATGCTTCAATTGTAACTCAAGCCCCAATTCATCAAACACCTTATAAAATTAAGGATAGAGATAAAAGTAGAGGGTACCACCTTTAAAAGTGTCATGGTCAGTGCATGTTTTCGTGTTCCTTCCGCCATTGCTGAACATACCTCCTCGCCGTCCTCCACGCCTTCCAGCCCAGCAGAAGTGTCATACAACAAATTGTCTCCATAGATCTCCCTCCAAGCCCAACCTGGATCAGTTTGAGACTCACTGGAGTAACCGAAGTGAATACGTAGGGGCATAGAATTGGGCTCCTATGCATGTGACATCAGAGGTGAGACCGGATAAGAAACCAGATTACAAATTGAATACGTTTGCTCCTAAACATCTGGGATCGGTGATGCATGCTGTTAGGTGAGAAGTTCTGAGTTCTTAATCGGGCAGATAGGGGGTAAAATTATGTTTCCTTTCCATGTACAGGTCAGGTTTCGGAGATGAGCGATTGTGATGGAGAAACGAGGTAGGTAGGGGTAACGACAAAGGAGAATAAGTAGGGGGTAGCAACGGAGGAGGAGAAGTAGGGACTTGCAGCGGCACAGATGAGGTAAGGTGAGGAGTGGTGGAGGAGATGAGTTATAGGACCGGTATGGGAAGGAGATAAGGTAGAGTGAGAAGGAGAAGAGTGTAGAAGGGATTAATGGCGTAGGATCGAAATCCAACCGATGGAAGTGGCAAATGAAAGGGCAGAAGTAGGGGTATTAAACCCATTACACACATTTTTCTTTCCTAAAATAGAAGTAGGAGTTTCATTTTGGGACTTCCATTTCGGAAAAGTAGAACATACCAACTTTAATAAATTTGTGTAATTCTAAATCATTCTTACTTTATTAATTCAATATGAATCGTATAAACTTACTTTCCTAATAACCCTCTCCATATTCGAATTGGAGGGAGGTAATAATGAACCAAGAGCTAGAGAGGATTGGAGTGTGGAATTGAGTGCTGAAAATTGCACAACAGGCGTCAAATACTTGGTCAAGAATTACTCAGTCAAATATGAGTGGAATAGGATAAGACATCCTCCGATGATCCATGCCCGTCCATACGTACCGCGTAGTACTTACCTCTGCACTCTGCTCCTTCCGGAATAATCATCTCACCAAACCTATACACATCTCAGCTTATAAATACCCACACTCAGTCCCACTATCTTTCCACAAAAACCCACCGACAAAACAAATACCGCATAGAATATGGTGGAACGACGGAATGACGACTATTCCGGTACTAGGCCGCATCGGCCTTGGTTGCTTCTAGTAGTTTTCATGGCCTTTTCTGGTTGTGTTAGCTCCAACAAGGTTTCGCAGGTTGCCACCCTGTGCGAGAATACTAGATATCCGAGGTTGTGCGTTGACTCCTTGTCCGGGTTGACCGGCGGCGGCGATGTCCATTCCGCGGCGGCTGCGCTTCTCAACCAGACGATCTACCAGGCCGACCTCCCCTTTTTTGAGTTTGACAAATTTAGCTCCCACTTCGTTTCTTCACATCCAAAACCCACCCTACGGGCAATAGGTGATTCGTTTTAGTTAATTGTCTCCATCTATCTGATCATTATCATAAAATAATGTACTACATATTTAATTTTAGGCCCAACTAGTCCTAAACTTTATAAAATGTTTTCATTTAAAAAAGTTGATGAGTGTGTTTTTAAATGACAAATTCTTTTTAATTAAACACTTAAAAATTAAAAGTTAGATTAGAAGCACATGCATGTATGGTACTTTAATTTTCTTTTCACTTTTAATTATATTAAGCAAGAAGCTTTTTTTGCATTGTAAACTTTTACTTTTTTAAAAATCATATATTGTTATCAAATACGGGTACTATCAACTTTAGTATTAAACACTTTCTCTAAAAAACAATTTAAACGTCTTTTTATGGTAGAGGCAATCACGAACACCCCTTAATAGACAGGAGTCATTCCTTACTCCGAAAAATATTTGGCATAATATTTAGTTTTTTAGTCGGGTCCCAAAATAATACTCCGAAGTTTTTTTGGGAACAATTCTTTCTAACCTATATAGTATCTGCTTAATGTTAATACCAACATCCTTGAACTGTGATGAGATTCGAAACTGTGACCTCCTCTTTGGAATGTCACAGTGGTACCATCAGACCACAAGGTACTTGGCATAATACTAAAATAAGCATTTCCTCTTATCATTAACTTATAATTATAAAGTTGTGGTTTCTTTTTGCCAAATGACCATACATAACATTCATCTTTACATTCAATTCATTAATTACTACAAGTACTGTCTACAACTCTAGCATTCTAATTTGGGAAAACTGTCAAATAGGTCCTCGAACTTTCATAAAAAAAGTCAATTAAGTCCTTCTATAGGAGACTCTGTCCGGTCGTCGCGATTTGGGGCGGTTCCCGGTAGAATTTTTTTATAAAATTTTTTGAGCATCTTATTCATCAAGTCTAGTTTACTCATGCCAAATTTCAGCTAAAAATTTAATCGGGAGCGCATTCAAATTAATTCGAGAACGCAAAAATGCGCAGTTATCTTCAAGAATTAATTTGAATGTGTTCCCGATTGAAATTTTAGCTGAAATTTGGTATGAGTAAACTAGACTTGGTGAATAAGATGCTCAAAAAATTCCATCAAAAAATTCCACCGGGAACTGCCCCAAATCACGACGGCCGGACAGAACCTCCTATAGAAGGACTTAATTAATCGACCTTTTTATGAAAGTTCGAGGACCTCTTTGACTGTTTTCCATTCTAATTTTATTTAAATTTTCAGTGTTATGATAAAAGTAATTGCATGATATGATAGTATAAGTATTTTATACGGAGTACAATTTTCAAAATGTCACCGTTAATGTATGATGAGGCGGATGAAATAATGGAATACCACCTACGAAAAAATATTATGCTTTATTTCTCACTTTTCTTAAATGGATGTCTCAGAATTAACTTCGCACTTCAATACTTTGCTTATTTGTCAGATTATCTACATCAAAACAGTGTCAAGCAGTGTCAAACAGTGTCCAGACAGTGTTCAAACAGTGCAAAACAATGCACTCCACAGTTGTTTTTGGGACAGAGGGAGCATATTAGTAAAATCTCACTGGTTTTAAATTTAGTTGGTAGGTACGGTATATATTAAACCCATATAGTATGCATACACATGATAGATGATTTAAGTTAACTAATTATATAACTATGATATCGGAATTAAAGTATACTCTAACTAAAAATGGCAAATTTTTAACAATATTTTACCTGTTTGCTTTCATACTCAATACAAAATTACTGTTTTCGCACTTCAATCACTAGGAAAAAGGAGTTTTGAAATGATCACCTACACTATCACACTATTGGTAGTTAGATTATAATATGTTATCCGCAGGTAGAAAGTAATTGAAAATAATGGGGTTTTATTTGGTGGGTTAAGCTCTCATATTCATATAAGAAACGACCAATCTAGGTGTTTGGATCTGATTCTCAAAACTGATTCTGCTCCTTCAGAGAGCAGAAGCAGAAGCTGGAATGTTTGAGTGAAATTCCAGAAGCACTTCTGGAGCTCTAATTTACTCTCAGAATCAGTTTTTTTTAGAAGCTGGGAGGTACCAGCTTCTGAAAACTGATTCTGATTCTGCTTCTGCTTTTAAAAAAAGAAGAAGAAGCAGAATCAGTTCCAAACACCCCCTATATCATAATAATTACATAATACGTAGTAATAATTACACGTGAATTATAAATTTTAATTTTAATTTTAGTTAAATTTTAATTTCCCACAATACAACTATGTCATTTCCCCCTAATATGATCTGATAGCATATTATACCAAATATGTACGACTAAATTTTAATTTGATGTGCTGAATTGGGTAAAATTAAATATTACACATGATTTAAATCTTATATGTGTTTCTCATAATCCAACTATGTCCTTCCCCCTAATATGATAGCATATGAGATGCATTCACATCATTGGGGAAGAAGCAATCTAACTCAACCGGTCGCCGACTCACTCTATTTTATGGGAGGTCCCAATGAAAAGAATTTGAGCCCAGTTTATCCCAGTATAAAAAGAAAGAAAACATCCCGGAAGTAAAATAATGGTTACTCTATTTATAAACTTTGTCCTTGCTTTATTCTTGTTTATATCATTTTCTCTCTTTTACTGATCTAAAACATTCGAAATATAATTTTTCTTAATTCAATATAGATAGGATTTCACTTATTTGAGGAAATAAGATGTTTAAAATATATTTGCTTACGTTGCCTTATTTTTCGCTAGTGTCCTTAATGGTAGATATAAAATATTGTTTTTAGTTTTGGATTGTGTCAAGTACAACATAGGATAAACGATGAGAACGCATCATCCCTTATGATTGATTTAGAGTTACCCAAGTGGGAATTAACGAATCCTATTGCTCATGAGTGGGTGATAGTTTCTGGTCCGAAGGCGCATGGGCGTAGCTAGGGGTGGCCAGCCTAGGCCATGGACCACCCCAAATTTAAAAAATACTTAAATTTTTAGTGTAAAAAATTCCGTGTAATTTTTTCCCCAAAAATATTCCTTGTACCGGTCCGGTCCAGCCCTGGCTCCGCCCTTGCGAAGGCGTGTGATCTAATAATGTGTTCTGGTCTTTCTTGCTTGTGTATTGTATCTGATTTTTTTCTCTCTAAAAAATCAGATGCACTAATTTAATTTTGAAATTTCTAAATGCGGTTAATTTTTCATATGTAGGTTTTTGTAATGAAATGATGGAAATGAGTCGACAACGACTAAATCAAGCCATGACGGATCTAAAAGAGTCACCGGAGAAGCAGAAGCAGGACATCCAAACATGGCTGAGCGCCGTCGTGACATTCCAACAAGCTTGCAAGGACTCCGTCGACACTTCCGCTCTTTCTTCTTCTTCTTCATCTAATACGAAAGAGCTATTAGCTACGATTTCCCACACCGTAAGTTTTCACTCCCAACTAGCCAGTAACGCATTATCACTGGTCAACCGCATGACGGAAGATGTCGGCGGCGGAATCTCCGGCAGGGGTATATCCGGTCGCCAGAGGAAATTACTGCAATCGGCGTCGGACAGGAGCAAAGCCGACGTCGTCGTCGCGAAAGACGGGACCGGGAACTACAAAACGGTGTCGGAGGCCGTTCAGTCTGTTCCTGGAGGCCGACGGTTTGTGATTTACGTGAAGTCGGGAGTTTATAAGGAAAACATTCACATCAGTAAAGACGGCGTCACGTTGATCGGAGATGGGAAGTATTCTACCATCATCACCGGAGATAGTAGCGTCGGCGGCGGCTCTTCTTTGCAAGGCTCTGCAACTTTCGGTTAGCTCTCTCTATCCTGAATTCATTGCAAACCATTAGGCATTGAAGAGATCAAATCAGATCACTTAATTAACAAGACGGGGTCGGACCAAACCATGATAATACGTATTAGATAGGGAGGGTTTGCAACTGCTTCTGCTAAAAAAAAAAACCACTTTTAGAGATGTAAGGAAAAAGTAATTAGTAGTAAAAGTTGATAATGTTTGAGAAAAAAGTGATTTTGAAAAGTAAAAGTTGATAGTGTTTGGTAAAATAAGTGCTTTTTGTGTAATAGAAAAGGGAAAATGCACTTTTCACACGCAAGCCGAGAAAAAGTAAAAATTGGTAGTGTTTGGTAAATAAGTGCTTTTTTAAGTGCTTTTTTCAAATAAAAAGAAAGCTAGTAAAATGACTGCAATACATAGAGTAATATCAATTAACTAAAAATTTGAATTAAATAAATTAGAGTAGACCATATCAAACTAATGAGACAATTATAGTTGAATTAAAAACATCCTTAGTATCAGTCAAAGCAATATTGAGTATGTTTTTATTTGGACTCATTTTAATCACACACCAGATCAGATCTGACCAGACATAAACAGATCGCACCAGACTAAACTTCAAGAGATCACACAGACTAGATTTCAATGGTTACAAAGTACACAAAGACCAAACATTTATTCGACCAATTCAGACCAGATATGACTTTATTAGACCAAACAAGACCATATTTCGACAGTTATAAACTACACAAACACCAGATACTCACCCGACCAGAATTGATGAATAGATCAAACCATAAAATCTCAATCTAATTAAAAACATTCTAAGTTCATCACACTTGAACTGTCACGATCTTTAAATTGATGTTGGATCATTAATATGCTAAAGTGAATTATTTAAATTTTGTTTTGCAAAGTATATAATAATATATTTTTTGAATAATTAAAGGCCAAATCAACAAAGTTCGACCCAAAAATTTGAATTTTGAATTTAATTGTGGAAGGGAGTATAAAATGAAGTACATGCTCTGTATTTTTCTTCAAGAAAAAACAAAATTTCATTATATCCGTACGTCTTATGGTATTTATACTACGCATTAATTAGTGTCGTGATCGTGCTTTGAGTATTGATGTACTACTAATGTCCATGATTTGGCTCTTTTGGGTCACTTAAAAAACGATTTCAATATGCTTTGACTGTTAATTTGACTAGCTCCATGTATGACCAGTCAGATTATGTTAGCACAGAAATCAATCTATGTATATAGGCACTAGTTGTATCTATACATATAAAAGTGTTTGTACACATATATTTTTATTTGTGCAATCATGTTTACAGACGAATTTAATCAAAGTGTCGGTATTTGCACTTTTTTGTTAGGAAAACTCAAAGTCTTATATAGCGTTTATAATTTTTCGATGTGAGACAAATACTTTAATAGATAGGCTTCAATTGATGAGAATTCTCATGTTGAGCCTAGAATGGTAGAAGACAAACAAACAATGGTGAGAGAAAATTGGATGGTGAACGGTGTCTATACCAATCGCGCTAGAGACCAAGTTCTAATATGTACCAACTCATTTCAGTTTCTCGTCCAAATAGATTTGTGAGATGTCTCTAACAATCAAGCATCTAGAAGGAATTTCAAACCTAGGATAAGCTATAGAGACAAAGTTCTTAAATCCCTATTTGTCTACAAATTTAAAAGCAAGCGAGTCAATGATAATTAGAAGTGAAGCATGAAACAAACAACAAACTGATTTATATAAGGAACCAATTCACATTCACTCTAACTATGTCATTGAGTGTTTAAATAGACAAAGATTAGTTCTTTCAGTAAAACACAACATATTAATGTATAATAACACGATTAAGGATATATATTAGAAATTTTGCTTTGGAAAAAACTATATTAGATTGAACTTACTACCTACTTGACTTCCATATAGGTCATACCTTATAAGTAACTATTACTATTAACACAATTTAGAAACACCATTGTAGATCTTTCATCATCATTGTGATTTTTGTTCATTAATCTCAAAGAGATTATGTGCCCACACATCAACGATCCTTTAATTAACAAGCATTGATGACATATTCACATTTTATAATTAACAGTTTGCCATATTTAATCACACACTTTGATCATATTTCTACATATTGTTTAAGTAATACTTTAATCAGTCGATCGAGATTATGTACCCACACACAGTGGCGGGCCCACTAAGGGTCCCACAGGGTCCCGGGACCCGTGTACTTCCAAAATATTACCTATATATTATCTATATTTTAAATAAAATTAAACAATCTGATTATATGTACCACGAAAGCTACAAAGGTGCTAAAAGACGGAATTGACAGAGTGGAGTAATGCGTGAATTAAGGTCTTTCCATCTACCAAAGGTGCTGGGTTGGATTCTTCTTGACCACCCCTATCTTTCAGAGGTGCTGGGTTCGATTCTTCTTGACCACCCCTAATGTTTCTTTTTAATTTTTTGAGCTTATTAATCTAAAAGACCAAAATGTTGCTTTGATTTTAATAAAATCCCTAAAATCATCCCATTTTTTCCCCTTCAAAAAAGCTAAGTATGAACTTTGTTAATATGAAAAAGTATATTCCATCACCGTCGATAAAATACATTTTGCATATTTTATACTCCGTATATATCAATTTAATAAAATATTAAGTATATAATGGGTAAACAGTAAACTAATTATACTATGAACTTTTGAGAGGTGTGAGGTAAACACCCTTAACTTGCATATCTAATATGAATATTCCAATTTTTTTTAAAAAAAATTATTTTAGCATAATGATCATATTTTTTTCTTTCACAAATGTAAAATTACAGTGTTGAGCAAATAATTTAAATATTCTAAGCATTTTTAGTGTGCAATTAACATTATAAGCTTGTTTGTTATTGTTATGTATTTCATATATTAAAGCTTAGATTAATAATTTCATCCTTATACATGCCCAAAGTATTTTAACACTATAAGCATACATTTATGAAAGAAAAAAGAATATTATGATGGTGCTAAGATAAATTTTATATACCCTTTGGGTTATTTTTATTACATATGCATGTTTGAGGTGTTTATCTCTCACCTTTTGATTAGAAGTTTTGGGGTATTTAAATTATTTTCCCCTTAAATAACTATAAATAATATTTTTCTTGGATTTGTTTCTATTAAAACAATACACATTTTGATATTAAAATTTTATAGGACCGTTAATTTTTTTATTACTTTTTTCAGGTGTAGAATGAATTTATATGTAATTGTAAAATGAATTTTATATGTAACTTTGTGCGTTATACGAAGTACTATCTTAATGTTTTGATGATGTACTTTAACTATTAAACATTATGCTTCTTTAGTATTTTACTTTATTTTTTATTAATTGTATATTAATTAGAATTATATTATGATAAGGACCTCATGACTCAATTTTTCTGGGTCCGCCACTGCCCACACATCCATAATATGTTTACAATTCACAATCACTAAATACATTCATAAAGTGTATCAGCACAATCCCAAAGTAAGGTTCAAACAACCAATATACTACCCTCAAAATGTAAGTTATATAACACCAAAATCATACAAGTGTGTAACGCACCACAATTCTAGACATCACAAAAGTTGCACAATTTAGAAGTAAAACTTCCATAAATCCGAACTCAGAAATCAACATTTACTCACACGGTGACAATTCATCATTGTACAAATAATTATATTTGTCACATATATGCATTAAATTTGTTCCTAGCATGGGTTCTAATTCCAACATACGAGCATCCAAATTACTATTTGTACACACATATCAATGCCTATATAGAGAAAATAATTGTCTATGTAAATCCTTATGAGATTTTTATTCATTTTCTTCATACAGACACTAGTCACCACACATACACTAGTTGCTTGTAGGTACGCAAACTAAATATTTGTTCACAAAAAATAATATCTCTATGAAACATTTACTCGGGGTATATGTTATTCATATACGGAGTCCGTCCCTTAAAACTTTGTCATCTTTACTATTTGGGACGTCTCAAAGAACTTTGTCCCCTTCCCGTTTAATCAATTTTTTGTGGTTCATGTTATTTCTCATCTGCATAAACTTCAAACACACAATTTTTACTTTATTATTACTCGTGCCGGTCAAACTTAACAAAGTTTTAAGGGAAAGTTTTTAAGGGACCAGGTATATTTCTTCACACACACAAGCATATTTGGTAACAAATCACGACCACTCATTCCAATGTGTATAAAAGTACAAACTAGTGTGCTCTGATGTTTTTTCCGTGGTGACAACTCCGGTACCCGTTTAAAAATTGGGGTACCGTACCTACTATGCATTTGATTGGTCCAAATCATTCTATTAAAGTTGGTATAGTACCTTAAGGCTAACGTAGAATCTACCTTTTTCCGTATTATTAAAGTTGTTTTCTTCTTGTTATTTATCACAGTAATCACCGGCGATGGATTCGTCGCTAAAGATATTGGATTCGAAAACGCAGCGGGACCGGAAGCTCAACAAGCTGTGGCTTTATTGGTAGCTTCGGACCGCTCCGTTTTCTACAGATGCAGCATTTCGGGTTACCAAGACACACTCTACGCCTTTTCCTTCCGCCAATTCTACAGAGAGTGCGACATCTCCGGCACCGTTGACTTCATCTTCGGCAATGCGGCAGCGGTTTTTCAAGCCTGCAATCTCGTCCTCCGCCGTCCCGCCAGCTCCCAATCCTACAACGTCATCCTCGCTAATGGGAGGTCAGATCCGGGCCAGAGCACCGGGTTCTCGGTTCAAAATTGTAAGATTACTGTAGGGTCCGATTTCTCTTCTGTGAAGAATACATACCTGGGGCGGGCCTGGAGGGAGTACTCAAGGGCGGTGGTGATCGAATCGGATATAGGCGGAGCGATATCTGAGAGAGGGTGGATCGAGTGGCCCGGATCTTCGTCATCCTCCCTCGGGAAGCTCTATTTTGGGGAATATGCGAATGTCGGTGCTCGGGCCGGGTTGGGTGGAAGGGTGAATTGGCCCGGTTTCCATTCCATGGCGAGAGAGGAAGCCGATAAATTTACAGTGGAGAAGTTCATCATCGGCAACTCGTGGCTGCCTTCCACCGGAGTCTCTTTCGTGTCTGGCTTGTAATTACTTACTCAATAAATTCTTCGGAATTTGTCTCTTTTGGATTAAAGTCGAAACGTTTGATTGTACTCCGTATAATTTTCCAATTCTTACTACACGTCTACACGGTTAAAAAATTAAAAAGATGAAAAATATAAGTGCTACTTTGATTAGAGGTTAAATATTACTCTCCCCGTCGCTTAAAACTTTGTCATCTTCCATTTTAATCAATTATTTTGTGGTTTCTCTTATTTCTCTCTCTTCTGCACAAAGCTGAACCACACAGTTTTATTTTATTATTCTTTGTGCCGGTCAACTTTGGCAAAGTTTTAAGGGACGGAGGTAGTACAAGCATAGATCCATTTCTAACTAAAAACAAACAAAAGAAAACGTATCGGAAATATATATCTTTCTTGTGAAGAGCTTTGTGTACGAATTTAAATTTTTGTTAAGCCAGAGCAACTTTTAAACCCTTGCATTAATAATTTAATGCACCCTCAGTGGCGGAGCCAGAAATCTATGGTTAACGGGGCCGGTCCTTAAAAAGTTTACATTGCAGGAGTCAAAATTTAAAATATCAACATATTTTCTATAAATTAAAAGTATTTATACATAATATATGCTTAAGAATTTTTTTTCTTGCAGGGACCGAGGCCCCCTCCAGCCCCTCGGCTCCCTGTCTCCTCCCCTGTGCACCCTCCATTTCATGAAGGTTGACCAATTTTGACTTAGTCATGAAATAATAAAGTAAAAATTGTGTAGTTTGCAATTTATATTGAAAAGAGAAAAATATTATGAACCATTAAATAATTATTTTAAAAGGAAAAGGTCAAGCAATTTAGGATGACTAAATAAGGAGAGTTTGCAAAGCTTTTGGATGGAGGAGTATGTATTTTAAGTACTCATTTACTAAATAGCATTAAGTATTACTAAAACAATATTCACCTTTCAAAAAATATACTCGGTACACTTTTTTACAATCTTTTTATATCCATGTCTTGTTTTTCCATGCACCTTTTTTGTTTTGGCAAAAAGTCAATTAACATGGATGATAGAAAAACAAATTAGCAAAACCAAAATACTGTTCCATGATCGTAACCTCCCCCACGCTCTCATGCGGCGCATGCGTCCTAAAATTGCTTATTATTTGACACATAATTGAGTCCTTGTATGATTCACATCATTTAGGCTCGTTATCCAGCTCCAACACCTTCATTTATCAACCTATAACTTGTGATATTACCACTTCCAACATCACAACCCTCCCCTCGCAACAAATCATTTCTTTTGCCTAGCAATCACATTATGACTAAAAAAGGGCATTGTGTAGCCTATGAAAAATTATTCCAAATGTAGTAATGATTCCTCCATCGAAAAAGGGAACTACCCTATTTAAATCACAATAAATGCACATTGCAAAGGAAATTAATCTAAGCTAATCAAATATAATAAATAGAGTCATAAGAATGAAGAGACACTTGTGATGAAGTTCTATTTATCATTGAGGTTAACAACCCTAAACTTGCAAGACATGTCTTGGAGGCATGTTCATTGAGTGGGTTGAGATGAAGAATCTGAACTAAGACTAGATGAGACATAAAATATTGTAATGTTCAAAAGGTATCCAAGTGTTTAATGTCCCCTTAATAGTGTACTAGATTTAAAAAACCGTTAAAAGACGCTAATTCCGTTGTCACCCAATTTTTTTTTAAACAAAACAAAGTTTTATTAGAAATAAAATGAAAGAAGTTACAAGTAAAAAGAGAAAAATAAAATGCAAAAATGAAATAAGAGAAAAGACAAACTAAATGCTAAAACCCCCAACCCAAAGAATAACAATAAAACCTCCCCAAAAAGAAACTTCGGCCCTCAGTTAAGTCTTCAATCAAATCTTCAAAGCTCCACTCGTGATTGAGACCTAGTTCTCATAAGGTGTGATCGTTGATTCTTCTTTTTGTAGATTCTCTTTTGTGTGTTCAGATTTTGAGTAGGCAAACAGTTTTCCCTTGTGACCAACAAAGCTTTTTTGCAAATAACCTCATTAGTATCTGAGTCCCATAGGTCTTCTTCCGTTGAGATGGGAACCATCTTCTCGTTTTCTGATAGGTGTCCAATGAATTCATCTCCCGACGATATAGAATCCGGAATATCATAATATCCCTCACAAGCAAGAGGCGCTGTAAGATCTGGAAAATCCCATCCAGAATGAGCATGTCTACTCCTTATACTGTCACCCAATTAAAGCTTCATATGTATCATATACTAGTACTAGAAATTAGATCATGCGTTGTGTGAGTGTAATATGCCCAACGCTAAAATATGTGAAGTCCTAATTGCATCCAGGTTAATATAAGGGTCTCTAGTTTTACGAGTGATGTATGGAAAATGAAACATAAACGAAAACCAAGAGAACAAACACAAGAAAAGAATAAATTGCAAATAGAAAACAGGAGAACAAACACAAGAAAATAATAAATTGCATCGAATAAACTGCAAAACTTTGAGAAGTGTAGCAAACTCGCATGTAAAACTCTTGGCCGGCTGCCTGAAAAAAATGCAAAATCCAAAGGGAATTCCATTTATAGGCGCAGCAGGGGAAGACTAGAAGAGTCTAAAATATTCCGAAACCGAAATTTGATTGAGCCCCCAGTAATTTCATTTTGACGCTCCAACTTCTGGAACAGGGGCTGGAAAACATGTCCCTCTGGATTCAGAAACGTAGTGTCAATGAAGAGAAGTCATACATACTAACCTAACGATTTTTCAAGAGTTAACCTGACAGAAGTACACACCGTCATATACGAAACGATTCTCTGACGTTTATTTATGAGTAATAGTTAGTGTATTTCCTAAATGGCACAAAGTACATCTGGACAATGCATAGTCAAAGAGGACTTAACGGACAAATGAGCATTTAATAGGAAATCTGTCGTTTATTAAAATAGGTTAAGATTCACTGATAATCTACTCTCTATTATAGTTTTTGCTAACGATTTTTTACTTATAATTGTATGCATTCATACCTACAAGCAGTGGCAGAGCCACACTTGATCCATAGTGTTCACATGAACACCCAAACTTTTGAGAAACATGTAAGTATATATGCATGTGTAAATTTAGTCTAATTATTTATTACTCTTTAAATTTCTAATTGTAAAAAGATTTTGAACACTCAAAACTTAAATTCCAAATCTGCCACTGCCTAGAAGATTTACTCATTTACCTTTAATTTTATATTTCATCATGTGATTCCAAGATAGAAACACCTAGTACAAACTTATGAGCATAACAAGAGCAAAAACAATAAAGAAGTAGAATAAAAGAACATAACATATTATTGAGAGAAAAGTCATGGAGTTCTATTATTGTAAAAAAGTACAATTGTTTTAATGACAAAAGAAGAGATTCAACGTTTGGTTATTCAAATATAATGTTTTTATAAATTTGGACATTTCCTCTAAAATCAATATGTGTAGGATTAAAGCATCTCACCTGTTACGCACATTAGCTGGTTTGCACTCCACTGAACCAATTCTTGGGCCGAGTTTAAAGTCGAACCGCACAGCCTGGTCTGATTATAATAGCACATATACTAATAACATAAAAAGGAAAAATATGTGACATTTGTATATATATTTAAGAATGAAAATCATATCAAATACACTGTGAATGTACAATGAAAATAACAAATAATATTATTAATTTTGATAGGATGTAAATTATACTTTGAAACAATATAAGAGTGATTTGAATGCTACTACTAAATATTAATATGCTATCATTGTTTGATTATCATTAAGAATAATTATCTTTTATTTTAATTTTACATATAATTCCGTGATTTGTATTATATATAGGGGTGAATTTGGTACTAACCGTGTCTATCGTGTAAACTTTTGTACGATGCATCTTTACGCTATTTGTATTGTATATTGAGGTTAAAAATGTGCATATAATTCTGTGATGAAATGCCAATTGCATATTAACGCTCAAAGAGTTGTATCCAAAAAAAAGTTTGATTTTATTACTACAATGCCACTGTGCGATTCCAGCCCTTGGATCAATTAAAAGAATAACCAAGATAATTTATAGTTTATAAATTAGAAGGAGTTTGTATTTGATCCCTTATATATAAGGTGTCAAATACAAACTCCTCCTAATGAGCACGTCCATGAAGAGAAAGTTGAATTGGAGCTACTGTACGAACGACTAACAATAGCGGAAGAAGTGATAATTGTGAATTCTTCTCAAAGTGATGTAGTTCCTTTCAATTTTCAAATGAAGTATTGATGGTTCGTTCTCCTTCTGAATGAGTTGTTAGGGTATGAACGATGACAATTCAAGTTAAGATTTGGATACCTACTACTTTTTGTTTTGTTTTATTTCAAGTTGTATACGTAGTATATATTTCGTTTAACAATTTCTCTTACTTTTGGATTACGTGTGTTTGTGTCAGTTTCGTGATGTATGGTTTTACTCAATTGCTTCGAATATGGCACTTGTTCAATGAATCTAGCGAGAAAGAAAAGTGGAATTGTGGGTCCCATGTAAACTTTGCATGAATTTCTTTAAAAACAAACAAACACTTCTTATACGAGAAAATTGTTAAAATGGTACATGAGATTGTTTCAAGTGGAGTAAGTAGTACTCCATCTTACACTTGAGATTACAAAGTACATGCACTTGCTTTTTTAAAGTCGATCAAGTACATTTGCTCTGTCATAACGTTAAAATAGTTGATCTGGCCAAACTATCCGTTTTTATTATAACGTTGTAGTCCATGTTATCAAATAATTAATCTATAAACTCTCATTTTCTCCTGTCCACTCGTTTCAACATTCGCTCATCTTAGAGCCCGTTTGGTAGCACGAAAATCGATTGTTTTGGTTGATTCTGCTGAAATATATGAAACTCTGGCTGAAGTGGCTGCATTGGCTGATTCTGTTGATTTAAGAAACAATTATTTTAAAAATATATTTTATTAATAAAATAAAGAAAAGATTATATGTAAAAATAGCTAAAATGGTCTTCTACAGTAACTTCAGCCAATGCAGCCACAAAAGTAACTTCAACCTTACTTTTTTTGCTTATTACACAATTTAGCGCACAAGAGCAAAAGTTATGTGTTTGGTGAAAAAGTTGGTTGATAAGCCGAAAAATAGTCTTACCAAACGGCCTCTTATATTTTACCATATGCTCTTCCTTCCCTCCGCTTTTCATATTATTTTTCTCCCATTCGCTCTGCCTT